CCTTATTTGGGTGTGTTGCTAAGCGTACAACAGGTTGAAGCTCACTCCCCCTACCCTGGACCTCCATTTAGCTTAAAAGCAAACGCAACTTTCTTCTATGCTAAGAGTCATAGCAAATCCTTCCTCTTGCTTTCGCTATCATTGCCTTCTGATCTGCTATTCCAGATTGGTGTATTGTGTATATTACTATCACCACCACCACCACCTTTATGCCCTGCCTTTTTTCCTTTTACAAGGAACCGAGCACAGCTTATACAACCCTATTCCTCCCCATTTTTTCTGCACAACAACCCTCTGAGGCAGGTTAGGCTGAGAATCAGTGACTGGCCCAAAGCTGGATCTCCCAAGTTCAGTGCTCAAGCCAATTCTTCTCCCTGAGCCAGGTTTTCCAAATAACCTCCTTACACCCATTCTTATATCAGAAATGTGGATCCTTTTTTTCTTTTCTGTTACGATTATATCAACTGTAGGAATTGTGGCTCTTTTTCAGGGGGCATAAGCTCCTCTTTGAACAGCTGTTGCAGTTTGCCAGAAGAAGGGGTGGAGTAGAAAGGAAGGAGGGGAACAGGGTGTTCTGGTGCTCATCGCAAGGTCATTGGTGCAGACAATGGCTCATTTCCTTCCCACACACTCATCCTCCTTTAAACACACACACACATCTCAACAGAGTGAGGATAATTTATGGCTTTCTTCCCCCACAATTAAAAAAAATACTTTTGGCTGCTCATCCCATCCGCCTGATGACTTCACCCCACCTATTCATATTCTACCCACCACTTTTACTCATACAGCTAACACCATCTCTACGTATTAATTGTGCCAGACGTATGTTATTCTAGGCATATCTCTCTCTCTCACACACACACACACCCTTATTCATCCTTTCTCTGACCTTCATCCCTGAATCTCACAGATGTAGCCACAATCCCCAAGGGAAATTCTTACTAGCTTTGCTGTGGCGCAGCACCAACAGGAATGAAAGACACCAAGGGCGGAGGTTAAGCAATGTCAGAGCTTCTGTGTAATTCTCCTTTCAACATAACTGACCCCTAGTTTTTCTAATTTCTCTGAGACCTACTCTTACATGCACACCAATAACTTCAGTAGCACACTGTTACAGTAACACACATCTCAAAAGCAATACCTGGGAGCAATTCCTTTAGTAGGACAACTGAATGATCACAGAATCATATACAAAGCTTCCTAGTTCCCCATAACCCTTTAACAGGCAAGTTCAAGCCTCTTTTCTTTTTCTTTGTTTACCGTCTTCTCAATGAAAATTCTAGAGAACTCGAAAGCTTGGACAATGTTTTGTGACTTCTGGGATGGCTTAATAAAGGTTTTTGCCCTAGTATGTACCTAGAGTGCAATCTCATGCAGGTTTGGACAAAAAATCCTACAATTCCCAGCATATTCCAGCTTGTTATACTGGGAATTGTAGGATTTGTTCTGTTGAACCATGCATACAATTGCACCCTTCGTAACCTTCCTGCTGCTGGCTTTCTACACTGTGTAATCAGCTGCAGGATGCAAGGAATGGCCTGGGATCCCATAATGCTGTCACATGGTTAGCAGCTGAATCCATCCATGCCTGGATGGGAGAGTGCCTGAAAACCCTCAGATATATCCTGAGACCCACCCCACCTCCGAAAATATAGGTTACAAGCGTGAATGGTTCCAGGAATGGATGCAGGCTCCCTTTTGTATGCTGGATTAGGCCCCCTTTTGTATGCTGTAAGAGGAGGGCCTCAACAGAAACAAACTTTTTACAGGTGTAAAAATGAAGGAGGATAGGAACAGCAGGTGCTAAAAGTGGGAGTTGACAGAATTGTTAGTGTGATTAAGAGAACTGCTAAAACGTATTTGGATGCAGAAATGATTTGGAGTGACTGGACTGCCATTGCAGATTTATCATGTCCTGCTTGAATGCTTGCTTCCATGTTACCATCACACTTGCTCAAACTATGTTGGTTAAATGAAAAGATTACAAACCAGAATTCAGTGGGAATATGGTTTCGGCTACTATTTTAAGGCCGCTGCAATCTCATTTGACGGGGATGTGGGGGAGGGTTATTATGTGTTTATTTCTAAACATTTTTTGCACTTTTGCAAACCTCGGCATTTCCCTTAGCCTGTTGCTGTCTCCCTCTTGCGTATTGCTGGTGCTGATTTGGCTCCATTAGGAAGCACACAGGATGACAGAGTTTGCTATTAGAAGGTATATGCGCACAGCAGGCTTCAATGCTTTCCCCTCCAAGGAAAATGACCCTTTAAAATGATCAGTGTTATGTATTAATTAGATTTATAATCAGTCAAACACTAACTACTAGTAATTCTTGCCGACACTAACAGTCTTGAAATAGCCTGTTGAGCACAATGCATGCACAATGTGAGTCACACTGCCTTAACTGCATTGTGGTTGGGCCCCGACAGCCTTCCCCAGCCTGATACTCTCCAGGTGTTTCAGGCTGCAGCTCTCAGCATTCCTGCCAATGGGTCATACCAGGAGGACACTGCCATAGGCCGTGCTTTGGGAGGCCGCCTTTAAAGCAGGGTTCATAGAATCACGGGATCATAGAACTGGCAGAGGCCAGAAGGACATCAGGCCCAACCCCCTGCTGTGACAGGCCACTGCGTTACGCCATCCCACTCTGATGGCTGTCCAGATGCTTTATGAATGTTTGCGGTGGGGAAGAGCCTACAACTTCCCCAGGTCTGAGGAAATTCTCTGTGGTGTCTAGTCTAAATCTGGTTTCTTTTAACTTAAGTCTGTTCTTCTGTGTCCTGCACTCCGGGGTGAACAAGCAGAGATCTTGTCCTTCCTCTTTGTGACAGCTTTTCAGGTACTTGTAGAGAGCTATCATATCCCAGCTCAGTCTTCTCTTCTTGAGGCCGAACATGCCTGGTTCTCTCAATCTTTCTTCACTGTCCCTGAATCATCCTTGTTGCCCGCCTTTGTACCCTTTCTAGCCTTTCTGCATCTTTTCAAAACTTAGGTGCCCAGAACTGGGTTATCAAATATCTTTCAGCCCAAGGGCTGAATTTAATTTCAGAGGAACCTTTAGAGCAACATTCGGTGGCCGGCGAGGGCCGGAGGCTGGTACCCCAGGTGCCCGCCCATGTTAGCTTAAAGCCCTTTCTGTGAGCCATCAAGCCCTAGGAGAGACTCTTCAACCTTTTAGGAAGAAGAAGGAGAACTGCACAAAGAGGGGCTTATGGGGGAGGGAGCCTTCCCAGGAGGCCCGGGGCTGTCTCTGCTTCAACACATGCCCAGGCACTGAGCTACTGTGCAAAGTTGCACCCACAGGTTTAAGAAGGGCCAGTTATTCAGAAAATATTACTCAGTCATATCCAGTTCCCTGCCTGTTCCCAAGCTGAATTCAAACTGTTATCTTTAAAATTCTAAGAGCTTAGGATTTTCCTCCTATAGAAGCCTTCCTGGTTGCTTGGGTCACTGTGGAAGGGTTCTCTGTAGAGAGAAGGGTTGAACGTGGCCTCTTGAGTCCAAGAAGTTGCCCATCCTGGGTCTGGGTCATGGGGATAAGGGGTGTGTGTCACAGCCTTCACAGAAAGGGTAGAATTTGAAGAGATGAAGGAAGTCAAGCTGCTGGCTTCATTACACAGGGGCACAGGGGTGTATCTGGATAGGGAGGCATGAGGGGCCAAGACCACGGAGGACTCTGCAAGTAAGGACACAGAGCTTGTGCTGGGTCTGGAAGCCAGTGTGGGGTTGTCAGGAGGCGTGGGGGTTTGAGGGCAAGAGCATCGACTGTGAGGAGAGACTGAAGGAACAGGGCATGTTTAGCTTTGAGAAGAGAAGACTGAGGGGGGACATGGTATCCCTCTATAAGTACCTCAAAGGCTGTCTCGAAGAGAAAGGTCAAGATCCTACACTTTGCTGATAGCAGAGTGTAGGACACCGAATAATCAAGTCAAGCTGCAACAACCCAGATTCAGGCTGGACATCAGGAAAAGCTTCCACACTGTCAGAGCAATGCAACAGTGGAACCAGCTACCTAGAGAAGTGATGGGCTCTCCCACACTAGAGACATTTAGAAAGAAACTGAGTGTGATGGTGTAACTTGGTGTCCTGCATCAGCAGAGGCTGGCCCTCATGGCCCTCATGGCCCCTTCCAACTCTACTGTTCTGTAACTCTACGATTCTCTGACTATTTTGGCATGAGTGCTGTAACAAGTTGCCACATTAGCAAGGGGCACCTGTGATGATCCCAGGCAGTGTATCAGGCAGGTGCTGGGAACAAACTCTGGGTGGCCACTGCCAGAAGCTGGATGCTGCCTTCCTTCTGAGCTTCTGTGCAAGATGCTGTCCTATTTCGTTCTGCAAAGTGCAGAACGGAAAAGCCGATTGCTGATCCCCACTCTTGCACCCAGGGGGACAAACACTGCCTGCTGTGTGATCCTGTTTCTTCGCGTGAGAAATTGGGAAAGTTCTGGGTTTGACCTCCTGCATAAATCCGAGACAGCTTCATCATTCCTGTCTAACTTTTCAGCGTGGGCCCACCCCTCCCTCCTTTCTCCTCCCCTTCTGGCTGAAAAATGCCAATGGGAGAGTAGTTTCCTGCGTTCCTCATTAGCATATCAAAAAGAAAAGGCGAGGTTAATGAACCACTCGTAAAGGGATTATATACGAGTATATAAATATATATATCCTCTGCCCTCACACATACACACACAGACACGCACACGGGAGGAGCCAAGTCGCTCCTGAAATCAAAACTTGGAGGAAGCGGGCAGGGGAGAGGAAATCCACACGCTCTGCTCCATTTCTGTCGCACAGCTCGTGGGAAGCCACAACAAAACTACGCGGGGTGGCGAAGGCTCTTGCTGGGGTTTGCGTAAAAGGCAGGTCGAGGGTGCCGCTTCTCCCTCGGCGGAGTTAGTGAGACTCGGGTCTATTGCGTGTCGTCGCTGTTTCGACGAACTGGGCCGTTTTTTCTCCCCTGAAGTGGGAAGAGACCCCCAAATAAATCTAACTGGGAGATTAAGATTAAGCGAGCGGGAGAAGACTTAGGCTTCCAGCCCAGGGGAGGAAAGCGCCGGCTTTGTTTCCAGGCAGGAGCGGTGGGGCGAGAGGCGATCCAGAACCACCCGAGAAGTGCAGCTCGCCCATTCCGTCTCCGGATCCCCAGCTCGGAATTGCCCAGGGCTCGCCATGACCGAAATAACGGAGAAAGAAAACGAGCCCCAGCACAACTCGGATGCTGCCCAGCAGACTCCGGGAACCGTGTCGAGCCTCCAGGAAACGAAGGTAACCATCGCCGCGTCCTCCCTTTCCTGCGAAACGGTGCACGGCTCGGCACACTTTCTGCCACCGCCGTTTCTTTCGCTGGAGCGATCCCGCTCCTCGTTGCCGGCGCCCGGGACCGAGCGAGCGGGCAATACGAGGCTTGCGGGGCTGAAGCAAGCCGTGGCCTCCACGCCACCCACCCGCACCGCCTGGGCTCGAGCGAGCCTCCTCCAGGCGCTCGCGTCCGCCCGCTTCTCCCCTCCGCGCCCCTCTCCGCGCCAGCCAAGCGCCTCGCCCCTTCCCTCCCACCCGCTGCAGCAGTGCGCCCGGAGCCGTGTGCCGAAGGCGCTCCGCTCGCGCTGCATCGGGCCGGTGGCTACCGCAGTCTCCGCGCGGAGCGAGCCCCCGGCCCCCGCGCCCGCGCCCGCGGTGCCTCTCCCGCGGCACCTGCGCTCCGGGCTGCCCGCCGCGCCGGATCGGCGGGGGAGCTGCGCTAGGATCGGGAAAGCGGGAGTCGCCCTCGATGAACTAGTCGAGAGGCTGCTTGTCGCTAGCGGGTTGCCCGGCCGGGATGTTGGCTGGCGTGCGCGCGCGCGCGAGCGGGCGAGCAGGCGCGCGCGCGCGTCTGTGTTTACGCTTGACATTTAAGTAAGGGACAGCTTATGTAAAAGTCTACGTGGGATAGGTATTTATATGTCGAACGATATGCATTTATCATAAATCAAAGGACCCATCACAGGTCAGCAAGAGTGCATTCCTTCTGTATACGTTGCACCGCTTCGTGCATGCGATTTGGGCTTTGCAATCCTCGTTCTCAATAGATGCAGCCTTGTAAATGGATGGCGGGTTTCTACTGCTTTTCTTCCCTCAACTCCCATCACCCTTCATCCCAGGTGACCTCAGCCACGGAAGGGGCAAGTGGCTTGTTTATGCATAAAATCTGGCAGTACATGCCTGTCTATGCAAGTCTAGGGAATTAGGTGCCACAATGCCAGGTCTTGGGTGCAAACGTAAATATTGCAGGAGACTCGATAAAGATTAAAGGACGTTGCTACCACCTCCATGTGCTTTTGTGAGCTCGAGGGGAAAGGCATTCCAAAAGGTTACTAGAGTGGAAAGCATAATAACATTTTAATTGGTGGGGGGGGAGGGTTGGAAACCAGCAATTTCGCCTGGTGGGTCTGTGTGTCTCACTGCAGCAGTGTGACTTCTTAGCACATGCTTTAATTGCAGCATTGCTGTTATAATAGTTGTGTTCTTTAGCAGAGAAAGCCCCAAGGCAAGGGAGCATAAGGATGGGGGCGCAGCGTATTCCGCTAAATGTAGATTTTTTTAAAGGAATAAATTGCCCTGCTGTGCCAGTGCTCCATCTGAGCAGCAAGGCTACTGGATGTTTCTTAGAAGCCTGCAAAGCGAGGCATTTAAGTGGTGACAATGGCCTTGTTCAGAGAAATAAATCCTGCCTCTTCACATGCTGGCTTCATTAGCTTTCCTAGCTAACAGGTCCATCCATAAAAGGTGTGCATGAGGTTGCTAGTTTTCACTAACACTGAAAAGGCTCTGGATCAGGCATTCAGTGCTCACATGTCACATAACAAGAAGTGGTGTCTGGTGTTTACTGGCCTGACGGTTGTTTGCTCAGTTCTGGCAGGCAAATTCTCTATGTCAGCCTCACCTACCTGGTGCCCTCCAGGTGTGCTGGACTACAAGCCCCAGCTGGCATGCCATTGATGGAAGTGATCCAGTCTATCTAAAAGTCACCCTGTTGGAAGAAGCAGCTCTTTTTTTCCTCTATTGGATTTAGTGTAAAAATGCGTTCAGCGCATGGCCAGAGATCTGCTTCTTTCTTTCTTACTGGATTCCTGAACACTGATATTGAAGATAGATTTTTGCTACACTCTGGGGCATGGTGATTCAAACAAGCCCCACATCTGCCCTATCCATAAGGGACAATCTGGTGCCACGTTCAGAATTACAAAGATGGGCCCTGTTGATGTAAAACTGCAAATGCAGTCAAGAATCCCCTGCAGTTTCTGTCCAAATTTGGCCTATGACGTAAGAAATAAGAAGGAAGCGTAAACAAAAAAAGCTCTGATAATGGGAACTCCACCCACACACCAATTTGATGCTCATATATGCATGAGCTAAGGAGGTGAGTCCGGGCTGGATTTTCTGCCTACTTTGATGTCAGTATCTCTGCTGATGTCAACACAATGAAGCTGGCAGTTCATCACTCTGGAATCGTAAGTGGTTTGAAAATCAAGGGGGAAGAGATGTTGCAATTCTGATCCTGCCGTTTCCATTTCCGCCAAGTGCGTGTTATAGCCAACACAGCTTGTCTCACACAAACAGAACAAACATGTCACTACTTTACTCTGCAGTTTGCTCCCCAGGCAGTAACATCCACACATGTGTTTGTGGGGAGAGAGATGCAGCGTTCTGCAGGTTTGCGGGTGGGTGGGGTGCTCACAGACGGCTCTAAAGCCCATGCACTGGGGGTGACTATCATTCCTTTGCAGTGTTCATCCTTTCTCCTTCACTTGCAAAGCCGTATCATGCTCCCTGCCTCCTCTGTGACAAAGCCTGCAAGATGAGTTCCACGGTTGCTTCCCTGTTTGCAATACAGCTCCAGGTGCACTGGACTACCATTCCCATGATCCCCAGCCCACTGAATGTATGAGCTACCATCCCTAGGGAAGTGTTGTGTTGGACCTGACATTGGATAATATGAAAACTCTGTCTGTGGTGACTGATCTGTGGAAATTCATCCACACATGCAATTTGTCACTTGATTCCATCAAAGAAGCATGTGTGTGAACCAGCCCTGAGATACCTTATAGACTTACAAGTGAACGGTTTGTGTGTTCTCTAGTTACATGCTTTACAGAGTCCCAGATGGCTTTGGCAAATCCAGTTTGCTGCCACCTCATGTGTGAAATGCAGAACCAGCCGGAGAGATTCTTGCAGCCTTGAGCAGCGCAGTCAAACAGATGTGCCACAGGTTGCCTTGACATTTAGCTGGCATCCAAACAAATATGACTGTCCTGAGCAGCTATTGAGAAACTTTTGCCTATGGCTGGCTCTAAAAACAGCTTGAAGCTGCCCAGGCTGTTCTGCTAAACTAACCCCAAGGCGTCCTGCTCCGTTGCACGAAGTAGCGCTGGCAGAAAGGGCATCCGCTGTATAATGTCCATGACTGGGCTTGCACATGCTTAGCAGGTGGCTTAGCATGTCGTGTGAATCTGGCGTGCTTTCCATGGGGTGGCTTCTTGTGTCTTGCTGCACAGTTGCTTGGCAAGAGTGCACAAGACTCTTGCAGTTCTAAAAGTGGCTCTGGGCAAGTGCCGATGGCAGCCACCGCAAAGTGCCCGAGCAGCACCTGAACATTGACCCGGTTTGATTCGGACTGGCTGTGGCTTTGCATATTGTCTAAAACAAGGATGGTTTTGTCAGGGTACTGTAAGGTTGGCGTATAAGCCATCGTGAAAAGCCATGGTCTATTGTACAGTATTTTGCCTCCAGCTTCACATGGCGTCTGAACCTGGCTTGATGCTCTGGCCAAGCAGCTCTGGATAAGCACTAATACAAGCTACCATGAAGTGCCCAGGCAGCCACCAAAAGGGCTGGTGGCTACAGCAGCACGGGGCGAGCTGCACTCCGCTTGGTCTCACTTCTCCGTCTGGTGCCATGGCTTGTCACTGCTCTGCTCAGCAGGGTGACCATGTTTAGCTGGGCCTGGAGGGCATCCGCTCGCTGCTGAGATCCTCCCCACCATCCTTGCCTGACGTTTCAAGGCTGGTGGCCATGGCGGGCAAGAGACTGCTTCTGACACCTGCCACAGTGGTCCTCCTTTCCAGCTGGGCACGGTGGCAGGCAATGGAACCAATGGAACGGGACGGAACGGAATACTGGTTTCCTTGTTCTCATACAGTTAAGGAAAGATTCTAAGCACATGCAGATTCACCTTTTATTTACAATCTGCCTCACTTTGTTTTGTGCTATGAAGTCAGAAGGGTGTTACTTATGCATCATCACAAAAAGGAGAACACAAGAGAACAGATTTACATAAGGCATACTTGTAGTAATTTCGCTATGTATTTGCATATTAGCAAATTAATGGGGGGAAATGACTGCCCAGCAGGGAGTGGAAAAGCGTGCCTGGTCAATCTGCCATCCTGGTACTAGTTGTGAGGATGGGTAACCTCAAAGCCTCCCTCTCCACTTTTAGGGAGGTCTTTCCAGCAGACCTGGACTGGGCAGTCCTGCCGTGTGGTGACCCGGAATATCTGAAGGGTGCCAGGTTGCAGCTATATCCTGGTAGCTAATTAATTCTCCCACTGTGGATGCTTATCTAACTAAAAGAGCACCATCTACACACAAGAGGGCATATCATTAGGCTCAGGAAGGGCTCAAATTTCCCAGAACTACAAAGGATGTTTAGGGGTACAGTAAAGTGAAATGGGGGAAACTCATGATGCAGTGTTGACTATTGGGATGGAAAAATGGGAGGGAGAATGGAACAGAGTATCCTAAAGGGGATGCCCAGGAGCACAGGTGATAGAGAAGCAAATGATGATGATGATGATTCAAAGCAAGTTAAGGAAAGTTTATTTTATTTTTTTATTTATTAAACTTCTAACCTGCTCCATTAGCCATAAGGCTCCCTGGGTGGGTTACAGCAAAAAAAATCACATAAAATTGAACAGGAACATGTCATGCAGCTCTGTTCTGCTGCTGGTCCCACTTAAAAGTGTATCCTTTGTATACTTTTTGGCTTTCAAGAGCACCTAAATACATTTGTTTAAGCAGTGGTAAACAGAATATTTAATCTCCTTGTGCAGCTGGTTGTAGTACTTACAGAATAGCTGCAAACCCAAACGAAATGATGTAATGGTTCGTGGACTGTGGGGAGACACAGCTTATATCCCCACTCAAACATGAAGCTCTCTGGGTGACCTTGGACCAGCTCCCGGTTCTTATCCTAGCCTGCTGGACAGGGTTGTTGTGGGAATAAAATGTCA